CAAACATGTCCTTCAAATTTAGCCAACCTGCAGATCAGAGTCAGAGATGAATCCCCAGAATATAGGTATTTAGAAACCCCAAAACCTTGAAATTCTCACACTCACAATACCATCTCAAATTCTAACCGATACTATCCAGATACAGAGATCACCAGGCTTTGAGACTGCAGACACTGCAGGCAACATGCCTATTGCACTCAGGCTCTGAGGACCCCCAGAGGAGAAATCTGTTGATACACATAATCATTATGGGAGAGACTGGTTTAGGCTGCAGCCATAGGGAGGCAGGTTAGATTTCAGGGGGCACCTTCTTCCTGGGAGCAGGGAAGGACACAGGAAACTTAGCTTAGACCAACTCTGGAAGCATGCGCACACACTCTCACATAATATCTGGACTTAAGTAAGGATGATTCTGGGAGGCAGATGCAAGAGAAGAGGAAAACATCTGAGAAAGGGGAAAGATTTACTAGGATGAGAAATCCCACAGAGCTCAGATGAGGATCTTTTGTAGGCCCTGTTCCAACCATCAAAACCTGTGTCTGCACCCCAAATCTCTAACACTCCAGTAAGTAGAGGAGACAAGAAAAGAGAAATGGGTGATAAGAGCTGGGGTATTGGGGAAATTTGATAGGCACAGACTTGTGTTGACAAGGGAATAGAGGATGGGCTGGGGACGAATTACAGGGATGGATCTAGAAGAGGAGGCAGAAATGATGGTAAACCCCTAGGGAACAAGGAATATACCAGAAGGGCTCAACTGTATATGGGGCAGAGGAAATGAAGTGGACCAAACAGGAGTACTAGGACAAGGGGGTCAATAAAGAGGGGGGTCAAAGAGGTGGTAGAGATATAAAGGAGCTACCAGATAGAAGGGCAGGAAAGAGAATGGATACCAGAGAAGGGACTGATAATAGGAGGACAGAAGGGGGACTCATATAAGGAACGGACACCATATGGGAGGAAAGATATAGGTGATGGACACCAGAGGAGGGAGGGGGAATGGTAATAAGGATTGGAGGTGGGGGAGGGGAGTAAAAGTGGTGAAGTGATGGAGAGGGTAAGACCCTAGAGGTTATATTAATCACTGGTCAAGGGCCTTAATGAGGGTCAGAGTCTGGGGCAGTCTAATCTGCCCTCCTACTCCCAACACTCAATCTTACTTGTACTGCCCCCCCCTCCACAAACACACACATATTTGGCCCTCCCCCTGCCCTGGTCTCTCCTCCCCCAACCCATTCCCTCTCCTCTCTTCCCTCCATCTGGACCCTCCATCCCCCACCACACTGCCTCCCTCTCTCTCCATCTGGCCCCTTCTTCTATCCCTCCATCCTCCTCTCTTTTTCTACCCATTCTCTGACCCCCCCTCCCACTATATTTCTACCCCCCCACCCTCTTGGCTTCTCTTTTCACCCCTGTTTTCATTTCCCCCTCCTAGCCCTTCTTACTCTTGTCTTCTATTTTCTTGATATTTCCCTCATCTCTCAGCTCCCACATCCAAAATATTTCTGCATCTCTTCCCCCAACCCTATCCTATCTTCCCACCCTTTCTGGCGATCTATTTCTCCTTCATCATTTTCACCTCAGCCCCCTTCAAGGCATATTTCCTGGTCTCTCCGGTCCCTCTCTACCCCTATCCTCTGGCCTCCAATCCCTCCTTCCCCATTGCTCCCATCTCTGTCTTCCCAGCCCTCCTCTCTCTCTCCATTTCAGCTGCTCCCCTCCCTGGCCCCAGCTCTGCCCCCTCCTCCGCCCTGCCCCTGCCCCTCCCCCCTCTACCCCCAACTGGCCCTCCCCCTTCCCTCACCACCGTACCTCTGAAGGGGGCATAGGACATCGCGGGGATGCTCCCCCGATGGATAGAGGCGCGAGACCTGCTCATCAGGCCTGGGGGGGAGGGGGCGGGGGGACGGGGGAGAAAGAGAAGAAAAAGAGGGGGAGAGAGA